TGAGGCTTCCCGCACAGCCTTGTGCTGATCCTGCAAAATCCCACCCCAAAGCACAGGGCGACCACCGTCCCAGCTGGCAGGAGGTCAGTGCAGTGGGCTCAAGGGGTCACAAAATCCAAATACAGCAGGGAAAAATAACTGGTGAAAAACACACTTTTCACCCATTGTTTTTAACCTTGTGTCCAAACCTAAAGCCCATTCCTCTGCCTGTTTCCCCTCCAACTTAACCCAATTTTTGTCTTTAGTCCCGTGTCCCATTAAACTCAACTGTAGCACAGGGTGTGTGGGCAGGTATGATTAATGACCCCTGTAATAAATACAATTACTTATGGGAAGTTGCTGCTGCCGTGTGCCATGGCAGCCCCAAATCAGGGTGTCTGAAGCCCCTCTGACATTTGTGCAGAGATGATATTCCTGCTAATTCCCATGAAAGCAGTAATCATAGAATGGTTTGAGTTGGCAGAGACCTTAAAGAGATAATCTTTTTCCAACCCCTCTGCTGTGGTCAAGGACACTTTCCACTAGACCAGGTTGCCCAAAGCCCCCTCCAGCCTGCCCTTTCAACCCTTGCAGGGAGAGAGCTTCCGCAGCTTCTCTGAGCAATCCTGCCCAAAATACCTCCTGGGCTAGAAAAGAGGCAAAAACCTTAGTCCTTAGCGCTGTCCCTGCCTTAGCACTCAGCTGAGAACTGGTTAGAAACCTCCCTCTCCATTTTGGAGGAAAAAAAAGCAAGAAATGGAGCAGAGGAGGGTGGTTCAAGGTACGTTTCGGTGCAGGGTGGTGACCTGTCCCCGCAAATCCCCTGTCCTGCTGTCCCACTCCTGGGTCCTTTAGGAGAAGCATCGGTGGGTACTGACCTGGTCCTGCTGGGAGGGGCTCAGGCACCTGTCCCCCGAGTCGGAAAGCCGCCGCTGCCGCCGTCCATGAGTTTCTCCTCTACCGAGGTGACTCCTTCACGTCTCTACTGCAAATGACAACCCCACCACCAGCCCACGGCTGGGTGATGGCTGGCTCAGGTTTGCACAACAACCCCGTCCATCAGGAGACACATCTCCTGGAAGCGGTTTCCTGCCAGCCACTTATCTGATTTTTTGCAACTGATCTGCACCCAATTAAATATATCCTGCGCAGGTTTAGAGTTGCAAAATAATTAAGGGCACGTAGGAATTATGGCGCAGGTGTGGTCTAAAGACCAGGCGCATCGTGTGCAGTGTGAACAGAAACTGGAGTGGATGCAGTGATTCCCTGCTGCAGCTTCCCATCGCCCCTTTCCTTGATGCAAAACGCTCTAGCTCAGTGCAAAGTGCTTTTGCAGCACTTTGGAGTGATCCCACTACTATTTGTATGCTTCTATAAAAAAATCTTTTGTTTAATCTTTTTGTAATATCTTTCTCCATCTTTTATGGAGGTTTTTTTTTTTTAAGTAACCTAAAGTGTTCAGTACCTCTGCACGTGCCCTACGTCCCAGCTCTACTTCTGGTTCAGTCCACTCATGTCCAGGCACGCGGTCCCATTGTCATTCGGTCCCTGAAGGACGGCACAGAGCAGCGTGCTCCTTGCTGTACTATTTTTACAACAAAGTGGGAGTTGCAAAAAATCTAGGAGTAACACCTACGCTGTTTGTGTCTACTCCGGTTCTTATCTCTATTTCACAGTATGTTTCACAACCTTAAAATATGCCTCAAAATTTAGAAGAGGAAAAGTTACTAGTGGTGTGCTTCCATCATCTTGCGGAACCAGAGCTCTGCAGGGACCGGCTTTCTGCACATTCCCAAATCCAGTGTGGAGGGAGATAAAAACCCTTCGGTGGGCATGGCCTGGAGAACAGAGCACACGCAGGGATGCTTGGTATGAGCAAACTGACTAATTTGTGAAGCAGCTTGCTTCATCGGACCCACCAAGCCATGAGCACACCTTCTTTCAGCACTGGGTGCCAGGGCGCTGACGTGCAAGGAGTGATCTTAGCCCGCGGGCACTGCACGCCCATGATGGGCACAGGTGTGAGGTATTTTCTGCCAGCGCCAACGAGCAGCTTTTGGGCTCTGCCCAGCTGGCCAGGAGCCTGAACGTGAAGCAATTTGGCCGCCAAACATCTCTGTCTAAACTCTCTGCAATTATTCTGCAGAAGTGTGTTCCCACGTGGAGGAGAAGCAGCAGCCCTCACGGAGGCATTCTCTGACTCAGCAGAAATCACTGAAAAACGGATAAAAAAGCTGCGGCGTGCTGGTGAAGTGGCAGGTACAGCGGTGAGCAGCTGTGTGAGGCTTTGGGATGAGCCGGGTTCCGCGCGGTCCTTTGCGACGCTGTTCTCACTGTGGGGCTGAGCAGCTAATTTGGGTGCTAGGTGCTGCTGGATGCAGCAGAGCACCCAGAGGAGGGCTTTTGTTAAAATGCAAAGGGATAAAGGCAGAACAAAATGCCTGTCTCTGAGGGGGGCAAGGCCGATGGCAAAGGTGGAAAGGTGAAAAGGGCTTTGGGTGTAAGAGGGAAGGTTTAGGGAAGCTGCATCTCTGAGAGCCGGCACCTGGAAACACACATTATGCACCTGAGGGATTCGGGCAGTGGGATGATATCGGAGACAGTTTTTCAGGAGGATGCTCTGCAAGCATCTTTTGGCCCTTTGTTAGGTAACCCACAGGTAGATACTCAGCGTGGTTAAGACCTTTGCTTGTAGCGTGTAGCAGGACGGACTGGAGGAAGGAAGAGAGCAAAAGGAAGCCGTGGCCTCAGACGTGAACAGAGCCCAGGCAGCCATCAGAAATCCCTGACCACCTGCCGCCTGCATCGGTGCTGACTCACATGAGCCGCTGAGCTGACCTCGTATTTTATGAGACATCTTCATTTCCGCTGTGTGTCTCCAGGGCTGTCAGCACTCCAGAAAATTCAAGTTTAGAGGCGGAGATTTAAGGGGGGGTAGTTCTCCTCCCTTCAAGTCCCTACTACTATCAGCAGGTGTGGCACATTTTTCCACGCCATAATGCAGCCGTGGCTTTATGGATGCATCTTTGTCTCACCTTAGCTTGCCCCCAGCTGGCTTAGTGAGGGTCTTCCCCTGCCCTAGCAGACCTGCTGATTTTAGCTGAGCATTACCCACAGAAACGAATGTTATTGAAGACTGTTCAGGTGCAGGAAGAGGAAGCGAGGTAAAAACTGCAGCTGAGCTAAAATGATTAATGGGACACTGCTCTCAGAACAGCTTGGCTTGTGATATTAATAACGAGAGAATTCAGGAGGGAACCTAGCCTGTTTTAAGTTGCCAAGCCAGCAGCAGCAGGAGATGCAGTTAGGAAGCTCCTGTGCTTTTATTTGTAATCCAGGAAGAATCACAGAATGTTCGGGGTTGGAAGGGACCTCTGGAGATCATCTACCTGTGCAACCGGAGTGAGGAGGAGAGAGCTCATCCTTCGCACACCCAAATGATGGCAGCTGGGCCAGCCCAAGCCCTTGAGAAACAGCTGAGCCTGCGGCGTCCGTAGGGACGTCTTGCTGTTTGTCACAGCTTTCTCCTACAGCTCCCTTGTGCCAAATCCTGAGAGGAAAAGACTTCTAGTCCTGGGAAAAAGGAAGAAGGCCAAAAGCAAGAACATCCAGAACAACTTGCCTACACTTTGGCATTTCTTGCATTAAATCTTAGTGCTCTGCGTGTGTTAAATGGAGCTCAGGGCTAGGGAAAAAGGTAGTAAAAGCTCTCCGGTGTCAGTGCCAGCAGAAACCCCTCTGCTCAGCATGCTCGCAGACACTGATCTGCCTTTCTTGTGTGAAAATGGTGAGTATATCCCGGGTCCTACCTGGAGCATATCCAGCTTCCACATCAGGAAGGTGTTTCTGGCTGGAAGGGGTGGACGCTTGAGTCTGCATTGATTTCAGCTCTCTTCATGGCTACCTCTGCCTCACCTGGGCATGCTTTGCCATACCCAGTGTGCCTTTTGCACAGAAGGTCCTTCCATAAGCACGGAGTTACAGACTTTCTGTATTAAAATGTAGATAGATAGAGTAAAGCTTTCCTATATGGTCTGACATTCTATGGCCTAGCACACACTTTAGAGAGGGATGAAGATGACAGCTAATTAACGTTTGGAAGCCAAGCTGCTTGATTTGTTTTGAGATCATAGAATCAATCATCGAATGGCCTAGGCTGGAAGGGACCTTAGAGATCCTTTAATCCAACCTCCCTGTCAGGGGCAGGGACGCCTCTCATCTAGATCAGGCGACACATGGGGAACGAACCTGAGATCTAAGACTCCTCAAATTATTTTAGGTGTGAGCCAGGTCTGGCATTAGATGAGCAGATGAGCTTTACGCCTCCCTGGCTGGAGAGAGGCAGCTTAAGGGAGCAAGGCTGTCGAAAAACAGGAGCATGACTTTTGCCAGGATGACTGCCGTGTCAGAAGCTCCCACATCACTTGGCTATGGGAAGTCCTAAGGGGCGCTGAGGGGCAGAGCGGGCTTCTTCTCATGTAAGGGGTGGTGGCCTGCAAAAGCACACCTAAATCCCTGCCCAGGAGTAATGGGGAGCATCTGAGGGAGGACACAGTTTACCTGGCAGAGCTCATATAAGGAATTATCGCTGAGCTGCCAGCTCTTTGTTGTGGAAAATGCATTATCTCTCCCAGATGTGCTGCAGAAAGACTCACACCTGCAAGAGAGAGAAAAAAACCGACTGTCCAGCTATTAAAAAGACTGTTGTACCCTCAATTTACACCCTGGCTGCTGCTGTAAAGCCCCTG